CAAACAGTTATCATTTGACTACCACAGTATTTGCATCTTTTAGGTTTTAGCATTTTACGTGGAATCGCTGTAAGCGGCATATCACATTTCAAACTGTTGCCACCAAATTTTAGAGCCCTGCATTATATTTAAAGAAATTAGAAAGCCAAAATTTGGAATTTGTTTTATTATCGATTTTATATTTTGTAAAAACTTAATTTTTTATTAACAAACTCTATGATTTCAAAGCAAACAATGGCAACACTACAAGGGGAAAAAAAATTTTATCTCCAGCACGCCATCTATATATTTGTTGCAATTTCCAATGAGTTTAGGTTACTTTACGGATACAGGTTTTTTCTTGAATACCTAATGGTCACTGAAGGTAGATAAATTGCATTAAAGTTAGTTGTCATCGCTATGACCAAACTGTCGTTCTATCAAATTATGCAATACCATTCTCTATATCCAATGCACTTCATATGTTCAATGTTCTTTTATTTTCCTCCATTTTGTTAACAGGTATAATAGGACCATTTCTTAATCTGTACTAAGAATTGCTTCAGCCACATGAAATTTCAGCTCATTGAATTTTGACAACCACTTGCATTATGTAAAATGTTGTAGACATATACGTAATGATTTGAAGAAACTTCCACTACTCGTAAATGATTTGTTACATCTCTACCTAATCCAGGATCAGTCAGATTTTGAAATTTTTTCTAAATATGTATCAAAATGATACAAGTACTCTTCATAGGAACGTAAAACAGCAAATTTCATATTCGAAATGATGGGGTTTTCCTTCGAGAAGCATTTTGCATGGATGTCTACCAGAATAAGGTATTATTTGCTCATCTATAGGAAGATGTGTTGAATCATGTGGCATAAAACTGGCATTTAAAATATTTAAAGAGACTATTCCTGGCCAGTTTTTTGGTGTTAACCCCAATTCTTCATAAATTAGAATGCTTCATTCAACGTTAAAATTGTTGTCATGAATATTCGTTATTTTGAAGCAGTTGTATTATGGAATCTGTAAAAGAAAATACCACTGAAAATCTATATGTGCTCGCAAAGATATTGCTTTGAACTGACGTGTTTTCACAACATTTAGAAAACATATTTTACACTAACAGAAATTAAATTATTATGTAACCTTTTGATGCCATTAATACAACCAAGTGTTTCTAGAAAACTGGTGTATCTTCATAAAATTGTTTGATTGCTTATGCTTTTTATGAGATGTTCAAATTAAAAGAAAAAGAAACTGAAAAAAAAAAAAAAAAAAGTGGAGAAACAACAAAGTTTTATTTGCAACATATGAAAAAAGTTATAGAAAAAAACACTATACAGAAGACTTAAAAAAATGAAGCAGATTTGAAATACAAGTGTGATATTACTTTTTCAGGTCTCGTACTGTGTGTTGTTAATATAATCTCGGGGATTTAATCAGACAGAAAACTAGCTGAAAATTTCAGTAGAATATGGAAGTTGATGTGTAAGTGACAATTCTTGGGTGTTGCAAATCTGAAATTTTATACATCATCACATAACACTTAAATTGTGGTCATGCGAGTTTGTATTGACAGTTAATGCTGTGTCATAGAAATAAATTGAATCCATATGCTGACTTACGGATTATAAAAAAATAAGATTTAAAAGAGGTAATGTGTTGAATTGATTGATACACATTGATTACTAACCCTTTAAGCATAGAAATGTATTACTACGTGCCAGTGCATGATTGGCACTTTGAAATAAAGTTACTTCTGCAATGTTGTATTACGTGCTAGCATATGACATTTAAAGGTGAATCAAAGTAATAATAATGTCTTATTTTGGTATGAAACTTATCACAAATAAATATGTTTTAAATGAGTGTATTACAAGATAGTTATAATGGTATTATTGCAAACTGTATATATTTCAGAATGTTATTCATTTATGATCTTTGCTCAAAATGAAACTTTGTTTCCATTCCATACTGCGTACATTCGCAACTAGTTTCTAACCTTCACTCCACGCCAATATCAGCATATATATTCAAAACATAATGCCAGTTGAATTTGAAAATAAACAAAGCGTTGCTTTTCTCACACCTGTACGTGACCGAAATCACACCATGTCCAAGAGCATAATTGGCTCTTTAGCAAAAGAGCCAGTACATGATCGGCAGCAAATATGTTAATGTGATCATATTTGTCCAGAAATGTTTTATGAAAACAATATCCTACAAAATATAAATTGGATTTAATGAGTTTAATATAAATATAACTAGAAACATAAATAATTACTTTCACAGTGTACCCAAAAGCTAATTTATGAACTGTTTATATTCGTAATGTTTTTGGAAGTTTTTTAACCAGTGCTATACCCCAAATTTTTATACATGTAGTGCATCTTCATTTGGTAAAAGTTTACAATTGGGTGCCCCTTGTTTATTGGCGATTCTTTTTTTGACGCCAGGAAGGCACAATTTCAAGGTGGCTGCTCACAAAACCAAAATAAAAAGTCAAAGAATTGCACAAGATCTGTGTCCATGTACACATTGATCTGTTTTTACTTAAAAAAAAAATCCTAGAATTGCACAAACTAGGCATTGCGCACTGCCTTAAATATGTCCATGTACACATCAATCTATTTTCATTTAAATAAAATCGGGAAGTTAAAACAAGGTTAAAACTATCATGGTAACCACAAGTGAGGTTTTATCGGCAAAATTTTTAAAAAATTGTCGCCAATCGAATGGGCACCCAATTCTACACTAGAGCCCTTCATTTTCATGGGAGAAATTGAGGCATGTTATATTCAAGAGCCACGTTTTGCTGACTGGAAGTTTGATATAGCAGTGAAATTGATCTTATCCCTTAGATCATTGTGCTTTTTGCTAGACTGTGATAAAAATGTTTAGAGAGAAAAAAAAAAAGATAGTATTTCGTATAACAGAATGTTCATTAAAATTCAGCTTAAAACAAGCAATGAGATTGTGATTCAAAAAAGCAAAATCATCTAGAAATTTTACCTTGTTTTTTGGTAATTCTATATTGCCACCTGACCAAAACTTGGAAAACGCTTTTGTGCGTGCTTCCCTTAAATCAAAATCAAAAGCTGCTTCATGACAGTCTCTGTCATTTGGCAATTTCTATGCTGCATTTCGACGTTATTTATCTACTATACTTCAGCTTTTTTAAAAAAAAAAATCATTCTGTAATGATTTTATAACATTAACCAACTTGTTGCTCACAGTGAAGGATGTATTTTTTCATATTTTTATATGCAAATGGGCAGAACTTCAATAATTTGATAACATTTAAAGGCACCAACTGTATCTTATTTTCTTTCTATATTTAAAATGGTAAAAATATAGTGTTATTCTTATGCAGTGAAAGAAATCCTTAGATTAAATAAATAATAAATGTAAATATAAATAAAATTAAATAATAACAGTAAAAGTTTAACGTGGCATAAAATTCTAATCAGAATGAAAAAAAATTAACAAATTGATTTTTTGGCATAAATACCGTATTGAAATGTGTGTATTAGTTTTTGTTGCTGTCATTCTTTTTTCTTCTGAAAAAATGTACAGGCATCAAGGGCATTATATGTAATTAACTTGCATTTTTTTTTTTTTTTTTAATTCAGAAACTTTCAGTAGAAAGTATTTAAAATGTTAATTGTTTAGCTGAGAAACGTAATGTTTTACTGAATAATTTGTGCATCTCTTGTTATACTTAGATAATTATTGTTTTATTATATCTGGATAAAGTATTCATAAGTAACATACTGCAAAAGTTAAGAGAATGTATCTAAACATGTCAAAATTATTTCTCTTGTGGATTCATTATGGCAATAAAATATCTATATACTGCCAATTAAAAATTTACTTTAGTAATCTTCCTTAGTAAAATTATTGTAGGATTTATATAGTTTTTATTTTGTTTCTAAAATCATGCCAATTTATAGTATAGCTACCAAGTTTATAGAATTTGTTAATAATATTAATGCATAAAATTTGTAACGTACTTTGATTGCCTTTAAATGGTACTTGTTTTCTGCAGTGGCCTCAGCAAGAATTTTGGCACAATTCTGCATTGGCAAGAAAAGGCTATAGATTTGTGCATGGGTGAAAAACAGACATCATTGTGCGGTCAATATAGTGGTTTTTTATTGCAAAAATGCTCATTCTGCTTTTTATTTTAAATGAAGTGATCAATTAATAAGTATTAATTATAATACACACTTTGTTAGTAGTTTATTAAAAAACATACTTGCTAGAAAATTAATTTTTATAAGCTTGTTTTAGTGGGTACAACTCTGCAATTGTTGCTAATAATGCTTTAAACATGTTAACAGGGCTGTGACTTGGTGCCTGAATATGAATTCTGCTAGATAAGAGTCTGGTGATGGCGAGCCATACCTTTTGTATATTACATTACCAAATGGTTTCTTTTCCAGTATATAACTAACTACGTGTTATGTCTATTTCCACAAATTCTTTCTTTTGGTAAAATGCATTTTTATCATAAAAGAACATGAACTTCATTTTCAGTTGATGGCCAGTCAAAAATAGTAATAATCATTAAGCATGATAAATATTTTCAATGAAAAACTGCTGGGATTTAAAAGTTAAAATTTTTATTAGCTGAAAAAAAATTTGAACTATGAACACAGATTAAAAAGTCGTTATATTTTAAAATTAAAGAGAGAAGAAGTACATATGCATGCATATTTGAAAAACCACTTTATTTTAAAAGCAAAAATTATTGCTAGTTATACATGTATATAGATCAGTAACTATAAAAGTTTGTTTCTCGCCAATTCAGAAACATGACAATTCATTTTCAACAAGACAAGTACCTTTTAAATTTTCAATCCAATGTTTTTAATATATGCATAAATTAGGGGAGCTTGCTGTGCTTTTTATGGTATTGTTATTGAATAATTTTTCCTACTTTTTTATTGCAAATGTAATTTAAACATTACAAATGCTTTGCTAAAACTTTTATTTTCCTGCCTAGTCTTCTGGAGTAACAGTATCAACAGCTGCCAAGACTGTTTATGAAGAAGTGAAGAAAGATAAAAAGTACAGATACATCATCTATCATATTAAAGATGAGAAGGTGATTGATGTAGAAGTTACTGGTCCCCGTGAAGCTACCTACAGTGAATTCCTTGAGCAATTGCAGAAATACAAGAATGAATGCCGATACTGTGTATTTGACTTTCCAGCTAACATTCCTGTTGAAAGTGGAGGCCAGGAAAAATCATCCATGTCTGTTGATAGGCTTGTTCTCATGACATGGTATGTTTAAGTTTCTTTTGTTCAGTTTAATAACAGAGTAACTAATACAGTAAAGGTGATTTTTAACTTCGTGTATTTTATTTGTAACTTCATGTACTTGATATTTTTAATGTTTGGAAAAAGCTGATTTTCTTTTAATTGTTGCTGATATTTAGCAAATTTGAGCCATGAGTTAACTTTTGATTATTAAAAGTAACCACTTCAGTATTTAAAAATTGCTTTTTACAGATTTGGCAGTTAAGTTTTTTAATTTCAGCAACTCTGTGGCTTCTTTATGAGCAATAGCAATTATTTTTACTGAAACTGTGTATTTTCAAGTAACGCGTATGACAACAGCCTGCCCATACGTGAGCATACTACACATTTATTTGAGTATACAGCCAAAAGTCTTTAATCCGGACATGTCAGGACTTCGGCGATTACGGATTATCGTTTTTTCCGGATTATAGATCATCCCGTTTAAATCTGGTAAGATGGCATGCAGAAATTATAAAATTAAAAATATGAAACCGTAATTTATGAAATAAAGAGCAATTATGATCTAAAGAGTATCAAAATTTACCCAAAAAAAAATCATTATATTTATTTGTTTACTTTATTAAACATTTCTTTCAATGCGTGCATGTGTAAAGCATACATTAGGTGTGGTCAAAATTAGAAAATTGCAACCAGAAAATTATTTGATGTGTATTCGTATAATGACGAGGAATTTGATTTAAATCATATCAAAGACGTAGTACATAGAGAGAAATACTACATTTAGTAAGGAATTATAAGCCGAATAAAATAAAAACATTTGCCTTGAAGATAAGAATAGTACTGACAGATCAACTTCCAGTTCATTGCGTGCCACGTGTCCCCCCCCCACAGCAGCTTGAAATTGATAGACATATTTCGGAATGATTACAGAATCAAAGGATATGCCTTTATCCATTTTTTTCAGCAATTCCCCTTTTTGTTTGATGGACATCGGAACGTGCTTTCGCTTTGGTAGCTCCAGAATCGGAAATTCTTTTTGACATAATCGAAAGTTCAAGCTTACTTTTAGAAAATTGCTCTTAGTCTGCAAAAAATAATATGCCGGATCCAATTAGAAGATTAAGGAACAATGCAATCTGCAACATTAACTGAAATAGATAATTTTAGCTTAGCTTATACCGTCCGTTATACATTAAACGCGCATGCATGACGCATGCGCAGAAAGTTTGTAGCTTTGAGGTCCGGATTAAAGACTTTTGACTGTATATGAATTTGCATGCTTTATAATCATTTTGTTTTTATTCTTTTCTTATTTTGCTGACAGTTTAGATTTAAATTTTTTCTAATAAAATTTTGTGTTTCTTATAAAATGCTTCTTTTTATAATTTTTATGAATATAAGAACACTCTAAATAAAGATAGCAATTTTTTTTTGCTGGTGCTGATGATCAGAAAGTGTCCTTCTCTGTATAAAGTGTTTTTTTATCTTGTAAACTTTTTTCCAACATTGAAATTACTTATTAAAAATGATTTCAAATGCAAAATTTTTTCTAGGAGAATTTTATCAAAGTGTTGGGTACTTATACCGTCCGTATATTATTTATTATAGCAGCCCTTAAAATTTAAATCATTTATCAGCTGAGATGTGACATGTAGCAAGGAATAAGAACAACGGGCAAGTTATCTCAACTGATTAGCGATTCAATCCCTTGCGAGCCACTATAATAAGGAAGAACAAAGTGTTGAGTTTTGGCTGTTGAGACTATATTTATTTTTTAACTTTAATACTGTGGACCGACACCAGCCAAACGAAAATTCAAGTGCCAGTCCCCAGGCCACGCAGAAAGTTCACTGCTGGTCCCGAGGGACCGACGCTGCACTCAACATGTTAAAGCTTCTCATGATGAGGAGGCTGGATTTAGGGCTGCCTGTTGTTTGCCTATAATTTATGAACTGTTTCATTTGGGGTTGATGCTTTGGTACAGTTCATTAACCAGGGAGCCTTTGTCACCATTTAAGTAACTAAAGGCCATAATAGTTACCATTTATATGGATATTATTGTAAGTGCAATTATGACACAATTTTTATATATCCTGTTTTCTGTGGGTGAAATATGAGGTAGGCAATCCTCTGAGATGCTCTGATTTAATCAATCTAAAATGCACTTTTCTAACGTGACATGTCAGAATATCATGTGATTAATTTGTGTAATTGATGTTTTAAACTAAGATGAAACTAATATATTTTTATGTTTTGGTTAGTTAAATCATATTTTGGATAACTTTCTGAATAGCCTTCCATAAAATTTAAGTGTAGTTATAGTAGGATACATTTGTATTATACAGAAGAAGTCAGTTGTGTATTTCTTAAAGAACATAATTGAATTAAGACACAATAACACGCCGAATAAATACTAATTCAGAAGTCAAACAACAAAAATCAGCGTTATATTTACAAAATTTTCACAGGACTAGTTTCGATGGTTTTACTGAACCACCATCCTCAGCTGCAAATGAATTTCATTTGCGGTTTTGCAGCTGAGGATGGTGGTTCGGTAAAACCATCGAAACTAGTCCTGTGAAAATTTTGTAAATATACAGCTGATTTTTGTTCTTTGACTTCTGAATTAACATAATTGAACTTTCAATCAGTTCCCCCCTGCCTTAGTTATAGCTTAATTATACATGTCTTACTCGGAAGTTATTGATTACTTTAGCTAGCTGTTAAAGTTTCCATTTGAATTTTATTATATGAGAGAAAATGTGTGGTTTTAATGAGTCCGGTTAGTGTGATTTATAAAAACATTAGACTAAAAAGTAGATAAATTATTAAGAACTGTGTATATTGCTTTTAAATTCTTTAGTTTGTTAATTATAGCAGACTGATTGAATTTGAGAGTTAAATATCTTTTACTCATTGTGTCAGCACACTAGAAGATAAAAGTATATTTCAAGCAGTCGCCAGTTGCTTTAAATTGCTGAATTTTTTATTAAGTTGAAACATAAGTATCTTGCATTTTGTCGAAGTGCAACAGTCTAGTACGCTAGATATAAATGTTTTATTTCATGTTTGCATTTAAATCCTGGAGTTTATTAATCAGAATCTCGCCAAATATGTACATATAACATTCTAAGAAAAAAATTCAAAGTTTTGGCTTTAAGATGCACATGAACAGGTAGAGGACTAGAAATGTGTAGAATTTCGTCGCTGTTATTCCACAGTACAAGGAACATGTATATAGGTTCTTTGTATTTAATAGTAGGAAGTGGTCACCATGAAAGAAAATCTCCGAGCTGAAAATGCATCAAAATAGAAAAACGCTATAGAGAACTCGATAAAATCGCATTTATTTCTTGCGTATAATTTCTCACTTATATCTTCTATATGATTTCTGATGGCTTTCTTGTGTAGTTTCTGTAATCGTTGTTCATATGATATCAGGTTTTTCATTTCTTATGTAATTGTCTCCTTGACTCCTTGAGTTCTGTTAACTGTGATCCCAAGTTATGTTGAGCTGTATCTGTATTTTTTCAATCAAAGGGCATTTTATCTTGTAATCTAATATATAAAAATGATCATCAAGTTCACTTTACATCACTGATAAAAACAATCAGAGATGCAGAGTTGTAAGCTCTACGAATATTCTGTGTATCTTTCCAGCATAAAAACATGCTTAAAATTGTGTAATCGGGGTTCGTACGGTCCTTAATTTTTTGGAATTGATTTTTGGTCCTTAAAAGTCCTTAATTTTGACCAAAATCAGTAGAAGGTCCTTTACTTTAATCATCTGAAATTTTTGCCTGTTTTTACAACTGCCATTTTGAGTGTGAATTAGCATTTTGGAGGAATATTTCTGGCAATTTACTGACATATAAGGGTGAGTCAAATGAAAGTGAGCCAACCCCTCCTCAGCAAGAATGGTTCGGTCCATCACTCGCGGCGCATGCGAGTTGCACAGAGACAGCCTTCATTTACGAAAGTGGCGGGGAAAGTGTTGAGGTTAAAGTTCTTTAAGGCGCTCTTACACTGGGTTGAAGACGGTTAGCGTGACATAATGGACGCTCCAAAAGAGGAACAGCGTGGTGTGGTCAGGTTTTTGACAGCTGAAGGTGTTTCCCAACATGAAATTAGTCGCCGTATGACTGCTGTGTACGGTGAACATTGCATCGCATTGGCCACTGTGAAGCGTTGGAGCAAACTGTTCAGAGAAGGACGTGAAAGTTGCAAAGACGATCCAAGACCGGGCCAAAGCCACCTTGCAATCCCTCCCGACACAATTGCACAGGTTGATGAGCTGATTAGACAAGAATGGAGGATAAGCATCGATGAACTGGCAGAGCGTGTGGACATCAGTCACGGTTCGGTTCACACCATAATTCATGATCATCTCGGTTATCGGCTTTTGTGTGCTCAATGGATGCCCAAGATTTTGAACGACCGCCAGAAGACGGAGAGGTTCGGCGCTGCTTTAACTCATCTCGTACGGTATCACAATGAGGGTGACGACTTCTTGTCTGCAATTGTGGAGACGAATCATGGTGCCACCACTACGAACCTGAAACACGCCGGCAAAGCTTACAGTGGAAACATTTGAATTCACCACCCCCGAAGAAAGCAAAGGCTGTCATTTCCTCGGGAAAGATGCTATTGACTTTTTTTTTCCGATCGTCAGGGGCCATTACTGATTGAATTTGCTAAACGTGGAGAGATTATCAATAGTTCGCGATATTGTGCAACGCTGGATCGGCTGTGTGTCGCAATCAAGAACAAACGACCTGGAAGATTGACGAATGGTGTGATCTTGCTACACGACAATGCTCGTCCCCAGTCGCTGATGTGGTTAAGATCCTCCATACAGCCCAGATTTGTCGCCATGCGACTTTCACATTTTCGGGAAACTGAAAAAAACATCTCAAGGGTACCAGATTCGTGTCGGACAACGCCGTGAAGGAGAGTCGGTTACAGACTTTTTGAATCGACAGCCCAAGGAGTTTTATGAGACGGGGATCACGCGGCTCATT